ACACATGTATATTGTCCAGTATAATAATCCCTTAATATTGCATAGGACAGCCGGGCGTGGTGGCTCACGCCTGTCATCCCAGCACTTTGGGAGGCCGAGACGGGCGGATCACAAGGTCAGGAGATCGAGACCATCCTGGCTAACACGGTGAAACCCCGTCTCTACTAAAAAATACAAAAAAACTAGCCGGGCGAGGTGGCGGGCGCCTGTAGTCCCAGTTACTCAGGAGGCTGAGGCAGGAGAATGGCTTAAACCCGGGAGGCAGAGCTTGCAGTGAGCTGAGATCCGGCCACTGCACTCCAGCTCAGGTGACAGAGCGAGACTCCGTCTCAAAAAAAAAAAAAAAAAATTGCATAGGACATTCAGTTATTTATGAATCATGGCACATCCAAGTCAAATCATTTCTCAGCAACACGCTTATCACCTCCTAAAAACATTCTTAACTAACAAGCTTTGAGAAATCAGCAACCTACTTGGGAAGTTCTATCTTTCTTACTCCCAGCCTATGACACTTGTGGGTAATTAGACTGCAACTATACTTGGCATCTGGTTCTTACTTCAGGGCCATGGAGACTAAGATCGTCCACTCGTTCCTCTTAAATAAGACATCTCAGTGGTTTAGTGACAGTCACCTCATGGTCACTTGCAGAAGCACTGTCATGCATTTGGTAGTTTTTAAATTGGGAGATGCTATGAGTCAGCATGGCGGGAGCCTGAACACAGCCAACTCCTTCGTTGCTGGATTTAAATGGAATATTACGAGTCAACACTTACAACCACAAGGTGCTAATTTATTCATGCTTGACAGACATCATGAAAAGAACATGCACATTCAAGCTCACCCTTTCTCCAAACATGTATCTGATTTACTCCTCAAACTCCCCTACCCCCTTTTCCCTGGACTAACCTAATTATGTCAGAAAAAATTGTTTGTTCTTACCAAGCCCCGAAAACAAGATACGTATACCATCAATGACAGCCAGGGCTCACACCTCAAATCAAATTATAATCTTAACTACAATTACATTTTAGCCAAACTTTCAATTAAACCAATTTCAAAAACACATGATTATAAAATAAAAACCAGGCTTTCTGGGCTAAAAATCTAAAAATCCCACTTTTTATTTCTAAAGTTACTAAATATTGCCCCAGTACTAGCATAGTACTTCAACCCTTCATTCTGTAACAGAGAGACAATTATCTAGATCTGAGTTAATGTAGCTTATGATATTAAAACAAGGCACTGAAAATGCCTAGGTTAGTTCATATAACTCCATAAACACCAAGGCATAGTTCTGGTCTTTTTATTGGGTTTTAGTAAGATTACACATGCAAGCATCTGGATTACAGTGAAAATGCCTTCCAGATTGTCTAATTCCAAAAGGAACAGGTACTAAGTGCACAGCTCCACATCCTAACACTGCTCAACCACGCCCCTATGGGAAACAGCAGTGATAAAAAATAAGCAATAAATGAAAGTTTGACTAAGCTATACTAAACTATTAGGGTGGGTAAATTTCATGCCAGCTACTGGAGTCATACAGTTAACCCAAACTAATAAAAACAAGCATTAAGCATGTTTTAGGCAATTCTCACAAGAAAGCTAAACTTTAACTGAGCCATGAAAAGCTCAAGGTAAAATAAAAATAAACCACAACAATGATTTTAGTATCCTGAGAACATGATAGCTAAGGCCCAAACAGGGACTAAATATTTCACTGTGCTTAGCCTTCAACTTAAATAATTTAATAAGCGAAATTATTTACCCGAGTACTACAAGCAACGGCTTAAACCTCAAAGGACATGGCGATGCTTTATAGCCCTCGAGAGGGACCTGTTCTATATTCGATAATCTCTGATATACCTCACCGTCTCTTGGTAGCTCAGCCTGTATACTGCCTAAACAGTCTCATAGGAAGTCACCCCACCTATTAATTATTCTTTAATCTGTCCCCTTGATAAGTGGGTCATCCACTTTATCATCTCTTATTCTTGCACAATAATCTGCATGATTGATTTTACCATCAAGACCCCTGCCCATAATGTAATTCATCTCAACTCCAGCAGAAACTAACCGAGCCCCATTTGACTGGCAGAATGTGGTACAGAGCTAGTCTCAGGCTTCAGCGTAGTTATTTATTTAATTTTTTTTTTTTTTTTTGAGATAAAGTCTCACTCTGTCACCCAGGCTGGAGTGCGGTGGCGCGATCTCAGCTCACTGCAACCTCCGCCTCTGGGTTCAAGCGATTCTTGTCCCTCAGCCTCCTGAGTAGTTGGGACTACAGGCATGCACTACCATAACTGGCTGATTTTTGTATTTTTAGTAGAGACAGGGTTTCTCCATGTTGACCGGGCTGGTCTCGAACTCCTGACCTCACGTGATCCACCTGCATCAGCCTCCCAAAATGCTGGGATTACGGGAGTGAGCCACTGTGCCCGGCCTGGCTTCAATGTTGAATATGCTACAGGTTCACTAGCTGTTTCTTCATAGCAGAATATACTAACATTATTATAATAAATGTCCTAACTACTATTATTTTTCCAGGAGTACTACATGATGTCTTTATACCAAAAATCTATACAATGAATTCCATTACCAAACTCTTCTACTGAGAATCCTGTTTCTGTGAATCAGGGCATCAGACCCATGAGTTTGATATGATAAACTTATGCGTCTTCCTGTGAAAAAACGTTCTCTTCCTTACGCTAGCCCTATGTATATAGAATGTTTTAATACCTACTATTCAACCACAAACATGGGAAATACGTCTGATAAAAGAGTTACTTTGATAGAGTAAATTATACAGGTTTAAATCTTCCGATTTCTAGAATTACAGGAAATGAACCTACTCCTAAGAAGTCAAAATTCTCCATGCTACCTGATACACCATGTCCAATAGTAAGGGCGGTTAATAAGTAAGGGCAGCTTACCCTATATTAAGGGTAGCTAAATAAGCTATCAGGCCCATACCCCAAAAATGCTGGTTTATACCCTTCCTGTACTAATCAGTTCCCTGATCTTCCTCACTATCCTAGTCACTATTTTTACAGAAACTGTTATCAGAGTAATTGCCTTACACTCTCTCCTAATGTGAAAGGATTAGAAATAAATATGCTAGTCATCACCCCCATCTTAATAAAAAAGGCCAACCCCAGGCTGGGAGTGGTGGCTCACGCCTGTGATCTCAACACTTTGGGTGGCTGAGATGGATGGACCGCTTGAGGCCAGGAGTTCGAGACCAGCCTGGGCAACATTCATAGGGAGTGAGGCCATGCGTGGTAGTGAGTGACTCATTCAAAGTTTTCATGGCTTCAGGGAGATTCTTAGTCTAGGGCCTCAAAGAGCCATCCTGGGACAGTGCTCATATATGGGTCTTTAGCAGGGCACTCTTCCACCGAGGTCTGCCCCAGTGGGTTACATGAGATGTGGAACCTCCAGTCTATGGATTATTCTGATGCCCAGTGCTGGAAATCTTGGCCCATGAAAGGGGGCCCTGATCTCTATCTGTCCTTTTAGGCATGCCATTCGTGACGCTAAGAGCGGTGAGACGCTTCATGGTCTCCAGTTGGGTGGCACGTTTTACACAGAAGGCCTGTGGTAGCCTCATTGTCATATCCACACAGGTTAAGACATACCTTTTCCCTCCGCTCTGGGGCAAGGGGCCAATAAAATTGACTCACTAGTCCCGCAAAGGTTGTATGGCTCGATGTATATGACCTAGTGTGGAGGGAACCTTTTCATGTCACAGCCATGAACAGGATCCGGGATTCTGAACAGCTGCTGGAATATCTGCATAGTGGACAGGGACGCCTACACAGTCTTTGTTTTGGCCCTCCTCATGGCTGCCCCCTGGTGGCCGCTCTTACAAGGTACCCATACGGCAAACAAATGTTGTGCACGAGAGCCTTGCCTAGGACTCTCCCTTCAGGGCACTCAGGCCACAGCAGCCTACGTTAGACAGCATGAAGGCCCTGGGCTTTTGTGCTAAGAGTAATAGGAAGCCATTGAAGACATGGAAGCAAGTGTTTGATGAAATCTATGTTCTTAGGGGTCAACTTGGCCCAGTGTGGAGGATGGGCTGGGATAGTGGCAAGGGCTGTGTAACAGGGAAGACCATTCTGGAAACTTTCGCAGGAGTCTGGGTGAAATGAGAGGGCTGACTGGATGAGGGTGTTTGTAGACTGGGTGATGGTGTTTGCTGTCTGGCTATCTCTCTCTGTCCCTCTGTGTCTCATGGATTTTCTCTCAACCTACACACAGGCCCTTCTGATCTTAGTCAGCTTCGTGTGACCCATGTCAATCCTGGGCCCTGGCTGCTAGATGGGGACCACGCCTGTACTCGACCCAAGCCAGATGTCTACAAGGTTTCCCTGAGTGCCTCAGGGGCCACTGGGTACTGGGATCACAGAGAAATGACCAGTCAGGAGAGTAAGCAGAAGGGACCATGGAGGCCTCGCTCCCTGTGAGCTTGGAAGAAGGATCATGAGGAAGAGAAGTCAGGTACCCAGAGCCTAGGGGAGCCCATCCATCAGCACCACAAAGGCACAGCCATCAGTCAGTGTTGTTTGAGCACAAGTCTCCAGAACACAAGAGGAGAGAGCCAGGTGGATCTGAGTTATCCTCTTGTCCAGCCCCCCTTTCCCAGCTGATGAGGAAACTGAGGCTCAGAGAGGTGGGGTCTCTTGACTGCAGGCTGGTCCATCTCCTCAATGCACCACGACGTTCCTTGACCGGTTCCTGGCATCTGGTTTTGCTTTTATGTTTCTTCACACATCAACAACTTTTCTAATATAGCATTTGGAGTTTCACTGAAATGTCATAAGTCCCTCAGTGTACCCTGGCCCCAAGCAGGGCTGACATTCGTCAAGTCTTCCTGCTGTCTGCTGACGTCACCACCATCCCCTTTACCACTGTTCGGACAAACTTGAGACAGAAACTTGCCCCCGAAGCGGGAAAGGAGCCACGAGAGCAAGGAATGACTCGAACAAGTTCAGCGTGACGAGTAGCTAAGTTTATTAGGACTTATAAACTTACAGGGCACTCAGCAGGACAGCTCGAGAGATCCGGCCTCCCCCAATCTCTAAACTGCTTTCCAGCTAATTTTCTGGCTCTTTGTCTACTGTATATGGGCAATGAGACTTTTACTTGGTTGGTTCTCAGACACTCTCCAGGATATTTGGATTCTTAGCGACACCTGGTCCTCAGTTGGGCACCATGGCCATGGCTCATTACCTGGCCTTCAGAGTTCAAGAAGGGGACATCCACCCTTCAATCACCTAAAGGAAACCCATCACACTACAACCACCACCACCATCATCAAGAAGCCGCTGGCTGACTCAGATACACTCCCGGGAGGACAAGGGAGAGTGGATGCTGGAAAGACAGGGCGAGGGACCATCACCAGGGAAAGACTCCATTCTTGGAAGGACATCAAGCTGGAGGGTGGGTCTGTAGTGGAGCTGCTATTTCTTCTCCTGTATCCAACTATTCTAACTCGGGCTTTCTCCATTTTCAGCTCTTTCTTTTCCTGGTCTTCTCATTGCTGGTTCCTGTGCGCCTCCCTCTCTTCCTCCCCCAATATATTCTTTAGTCTAGAATAAACTGCTTCTTCCCATTCCCCACAGTCTCCAGTCCCCTCTCCTCCCTTAATCCAGGCCCCAGCGTTTCTGCCTTCTCCTTGACGCACTTGCCATCTTGAGTAACCCCTCCCCTGCTGTGCTCAACTACAGACGCCAAAGTTCCTAACACTCAGTTCCATAAACTTTACCTCGTCCGCTTTATACCCCTAAGAAACGTCTGCATTTTGTCCCAGCTTGTGTCTGGCGCACCTTCCCTGGTGGCTGTACTGCTCTGGGGTCACTGGGCCCAGCCTGCCTTTAGACTCTGATGGATCTGGGTGAGTTTGTTTAGATTCTTCTGCAGTTCCTGAGCCCACTGCCTCAGCTCCTTAGCAGACTCGGATTTTGCCCCCTTATGCAAGTGCTGTGAGTCTTGCACAAGCTGGACCACACCCAGCATAAGGAGGGCTCCTGAAGCGGCCTTCGGGACTGCTTTTCTCACCATCCGTTTGGCGGCTCCAGGTGTTTTCAGCTCCTCAATAACATTTGTAGGTACGAGTCGCCTGATGTTCAAAGGGCGTCCAACAGTGGCTTTAGATCTCCTGAGTGTACGGACATCATTCGCAATCGTTTTTGTGACTTTGTCAAAATCAAGCGCAAAAGAAAGCACGCTGGGCGTGATTTCCCTCAAAGTGTCCCTTAATACCTTCAACAGGTCACGGCTGGTCGCAGTCAGCCTGCTGGCTCGGAGTTCTGCCAACTTCTTGTATGTGTTCCTCACGATGCTGGTGCCGATCCCAGTCGTAGCAGACGCTATTCCCAGCCGTACCCCAACTGCAGTGACGCCCAGGCTCAGCCCTGCTGTAAATGGTGCCAGCAAAAAGCAAACGACAGACAAGACGCCAGAGGCAGTGCCAATGGAGCCGGACACCACATTGGCGATAGTGCAACCTCTGTGGAACTTTTCAATCTCATTTGCAGTGACACGAATCTTTTCTATGTGCTCCTGAATCTTCCAGCTGAGTTGAGGAAACTGTTTCAAAAACCACTCCCTAAGCTGCTGGTCTTTTTGCTGCACGTCTTTGTCCTCAATAGCCGCATATGGTGTAAGATTCTTCAGAGCTTCATAGAGAGCATCTGCTTCGTCCCTGTACCAATAAAGGACAGATGATGAAGAAAGGCAGCTTACTTATGTGTCAAATGAGCTCACTAAGGTCTGTTCTACATAAATCACAGAGCTGTTACTATGAGTCAAATGGAAATAAAGTTCTAAAAGGTAAATAATTATTTTCAAGGCCAGGCGCATTGGCTCACACCTGTAATCCCAACACTTTGGGAGGCTGAGACGGGGGGATCACAAGGTCAGGAGATCGAGACCATCCTGGCTAACACGTTGAAACCCCATCTCTACTAAAAATGCAAAAAAAATTAGCCAGGCGAGGTGGCGGGCGCCTGTAGTCCCAGCTACTCGGGAGGCTGAGGCGGGAGAATGGCGTGAACCCAGGAGGCGGAGCTTGCAGTGAGCTGAGATCAGGCCACTGCACTCCAGCCTGAGCGACAGAGCGAGACTCCGTCTCGAATAATAATGATAATTATTATTATTATTATTATTATTATTATTATTCTTTTCAAGGTTAAATAAGTTTTATACAACATAGATACGCCACAGTACTTATTCAGTATGGGAAAAAATAAGTTAAAGTCATCTTCAGGCCAGGCGCGGTGGCTCACGCCTGTAATCCCAGCACTTTGGGAGGCCGAGGCGGGCAGATCACAAGGTCAGGAGATCGAGACCACGGTGAAACCACGGCCTTACTAAAAATACAAAAAATTAGCTGGGTGCAGTGTCGGGCACCTATAGTCCCAGCTACTCGGGAGGCTGAGGCAGGAGAATGGCGTGAACCCAGGAGGCAGAGCTTGCAGTGAGCCGAGATCGCGCCACTGCACTCCAGCCTGGGGGACAGAGCGAGACTCCGAGACTCTGTCTCAAAAAAAAAAAAAGTCATCTTCAGATGCTCCTTAGTGGCTACGTGTTTGATAAAGATGGTTCCTCATGCGAGGGAGGTCGATGCCATCACTACCAGAGTGTGTGGAAAGGGGAAACTTTGTAGATGAACAAAGAGAAGTGGGTTCAGAGCAAAAAGACCTTCATTCAGAGGATCATAGAACAGTGAAGAATTAACTTGAACAGAAGAGAGCTCATCCCTTTGTCCTCGGCCCCTGGGAAGTGATCTCTGGGGCCCTGGAATGTCCTGACTGGTAGGAACGTCTTTGTTTCCCCCGTGGTTTGGCTACAGGCCAGTATAGCAATGTGATGGGTGATGGGGGTTTGGGGCTATTAAGTGTCTCATCTGCCCTCCAGAGGAACTGGGGACTAAAGGGGTTAGACCTTGGGGAGGGGCTGGAGACTCCATGTCAGCCATGAGGGCAGCTTGTGATCCAGTCCCAGGAAGAGCTCTGCATTGAGTCATGAGCTGAGAAAGACTTACTCCTTGGCCAAACTCCAGCCAGGCTGTTCTGAGCCTCTTCTCCTCTAGGCATTGACCTTGGCTTTCCACGCCCATCCTGTGCTTGCTGGGCCTGCACCACCCCAGCTCAGCAAGAATCCCCCAAAGTCAATTTGCAGAGGATCCCCCACACTTGCTGTCTGAGGACACTTGCTCTCCGATTACAGTCTTCACCCATTCATTTGATGGGTGAGTGTCTGAGCTGCCTTTAGTTGAGCATCCTGTTAGTCCAGTTTAGCAGAAACCCCCCACTCTGGTGTCTCTTGTCAGTCCTGTTCCATCTGCCGCCTCTCACCCTGGTGTTGGCTGTGACTCCCACCCCCCGCTCCCGCTCCCCATCTTTACTGTATTCGGAGCTGGGCTCAGTCTCCCTCCCCTGTAACAACCATCCTGAATAAAGGCTTCCTTCCTGATTTAATGTGGTTCACAGGAATTTTTCCTTAACTGGGTGAGCTTCCCTGGTTGGCAACACCCCATGTGTTTTGTCCCACATTGACACAGGAGATCACAGCGTCCTGAGGACAATGAAGCTTCACACCTGAAGCCCTCCCAGACTCTGCCCTGTGTGTCTCTTCCTTAGGCTGATTTTAATCTGTGTTCTTTCCCTATGATAAATCACAATCGTGCAATAACAGTTTTCAGTGAGTTAAGCGAGTCCTTGTATTGAATTACCCAACCCGAGGGGGGCTTAAGAAAGCCCCTCAAGTTTGCAACTGATGTCAGAAGGAAGGGTGCATTCAAACGTTGCAGTGCATCTAAATCTGAGTCCTTAAGAATTCAAACACAACCTCAGACTAGAAGACATCAATTTGCCTGGCATGTTATCTCTTCCAATGCCTCATGCCCTTTGACTTTCTGACTGAAGGCCACTGGGTCCAGCCACTGCCCCCTGTGACTGAAAAGTGAAAGACTTCGCTGTTAGTCTTGGCTCCACGCAAACTCTCAAGCCACCTTACTGCCTCCTGACCTGGCACCTCCAAACGTCAGGGTCTCACTTTCACATGTCACCGGCCAAACTAATGCCTTAGCAGGTGACAGCTTCACTTGTGTGCATGTCAAGGCCATGTACAATTTCATGGAACCTCTTGAGGACTCATGAGACTTTGAAAATCATCTCTATACATTGCTAATGCTGAAAAGACCTACATTTGGACAAGATGGTAGAGAAAGTGTTTTTCTCTTTGGTTGGGGACTTGTGAGTCTCCCAAGGACCCTTCAAATTACACCAGTTGAAACCACTCGTCCCCACTCTGGAAGTTGGCCTGAAGAAACACTGCCTCTACTCTATGTCGAACAGAAGAGGGTTTCAAATGGCAGCCCAGAACTCCCCAGTTCCCAGGCATGGTGTGGGGGAAACAGTCACCCATGGCCCACTATGCCCATCAGTGATGGGATCAAATCAGGGAGGGAAGAAATATCCCTCTCCCACTCACGTGTCCTCTGCAAGTCCATGACCGTGTTACATTTCATGCTCTCAGTGCCTCCTTCCTCTCACCCCCCTCCTGGCCTTGATGCCCCAGCCTTCCTACTGCTCCTCCAATCTAGGCCCACCCCTGCCCCATCCTGACCCCTGGCTCTGCCCTTGGCAAGGTCTCTTTGGGTCTTTGGGTGGCATCATGCTATTTGGTTCCTCGCCTTTGACCTGGAGTTCATTCTAAGGCCTTCACCACACTCCCATCTGATTGAATTACTAATAGCATTGGACAGATGACAGGTCCCAGTCTCTAAGACTTAAGCCAAGAGCCCCGGAGCTGTGCAGGGACAGAGCCGGGATCCATCCCAGCTCTGTCCAACTCCATTCCAGCCTCTCTGTGTCCTGGGTCAGCAGAAGGATTCTGCTGTGTTTGTGCAGTTCCTCAGAGGTACAGGAAAAGGGCCCCAGACAGCATCTCCAGGAACACACACTGATCAGGTCAAGATTTTTCTGACAGTTACCAAAGAAAGTCCTGCTGGGCGTGCATCTCTAAGAAAAAGACTTTTGGCCCTGATCTCTTCCCAGGAAGTTTTGTAAAAGGTAACATGAACTGAGCACCTACCATGTGTCAGTCATTATGCTAAATGTTTTACATGCATTATCTTATTTTTCTCACAATAAAGCTCAATGGATGAAGAAAGGAAAGCAGAAAGTAGTCAAGTAGATTGCAAAGCTCCCATCACCAGTAGATGGCAGAACTGATCCTGCCCTTCTGGGCTTCCTCTCCCCTCAGCCTGAGGCCATTCACTGCCAGCAAAGGACATGGAGGAAATATTCCTTCTGGACTGCTGAGAGGGATGTCCTCAAGCCCAGCAGAAGGAGCTGCCTGGAGGAGGTGTGCCTGCCAGAGGAAACTAGCCCAGGGGAGATCTGGGTGGCATCGCTGGGGCACCCCATGGAGGTTACCTGGACAATTCAGCCACAGCTACGAATCTCTTCCAGGCTTCATCGTCAGTCAGCAGGATTTTCAGATGCCCTGGGCTAACATTCTTCTGGAAGTATTCGGTGACTTCTTCGGTGAAGCATTTCTTTTCTAGTTGGAAACAAAAAGGATAAGACAGGAGGTAAGTGTTCTACCACATAAATGGCATTGAATATAAGGTGGTTCGATGTTAATCCTCCTGACCATCTGTCACATGGGGTAGTTTTGATGGAGGCACCAGTGCTATAGAGTGAATTGTGTGCCCCCCCAAATTCATATACTGAGGCCCTAAACTCCAGTGACTATATTTGGAGATCGAGCCTTTAAGGAAGTCATTAATTTAAAGGCAGTCATAAGGATAGGGCCCTAATCCTATAGGACTGGTGTCCAATTAAAAGAAAAAAAGAGACAGAGGATCTCTCTCTCTCTCTCTCTCACACACACACACACACACACACACTGGGAAGGCCATGTGAGGACACAGCACTGAGGCAGCCTCTGCAAGCCAGGAGCAGAGCCCTCCCCAGACATCAACCCTGCTGGCACCTTCACCTTGGACTTCTTGCCTTCAGAACTGTGAGAAAATAAGTCAGTTGTTGAAGCCACCCAGCCTGTGGCATTTTACTGAGGCATCCTGAGAAGAGGGATTCAGCAGGAAAGTGCCACGGTGCTTTGTGGAGCAACCCATCTATTTCAGCTGAGAATCACCAGAAAGTAAGAGCTTTCCACCACGTTTTCTCCCCATGTAAGGGAAATCTTCCAAGATCGCTTCCTTCTGCTGTGTGCCTATTGTCAAACACTTTACACCAGTGTCTTCAAAATCTGAGTTTCGACCCATCAGTGGGTTATTACAATAGTTCATTGTGTCAAAAGCAGCATTTTACAAAGAAAAGAGCATTGAAAATATCAGAGTGTATTGAACATAGCAAGAGTGAGTATTCTTTTGTAAGATATTATATGTGTGTGTGTGTGTGTGTGTGTGTGTGTGTGTGTGTGTGTATTTCTGGGATCTGGATGTGTTTAGCATGGCAGCATTTTCAATCTTTTAGAAGCGACACAGGGTGCATATGCTGTATCACTGACCACTCCCAGAGTGATCAACGGTACAAATGTTTTAACCTTGTAATCAAAGGTACGAATGTGTCAACAGAGAAACCAATGAATATTCACCTGAAATGAGATACATAATATTACCGCTACAAAGCATCTTAGTACACAGCAGGATTACTGCCCAGATGAGTTGCCCAAAAAATGTGTGGTTTGCAGGGATTTAGGAATAACGGAACTGCAGAGAAGGGACTGGGAAGCAGTATGTATTTATGTATGCACTGGGGCATGATGTAAAATTGTTTCCTGCCCTGGAGGCACTTGCAAGGCCTCATTCTCATTTCACAGAAGGAGAAATTGAGACCCAGACAGTGAGAGACACCTCCCAACCCAGCAAGCAGGAAGCTCAGGATTTGACTCCCAGGCCAGCGTTCCCTTGCCATTGCTTTGAAGACTCCGTATATTTTTTAAATGCCTGTGGTTTCTGCATTCTCCCCTGTAGTATACCTGTGGAGTTTTAAACATTTTATTTGCATTCTCCCCTGTAGTATACCTGTGGGGCTTTAAACATTTTATTTGCACAGAATTTAAACATTTTATTTATTTAAACATTTTATTTTAAACATTTTATTCCTCCTGCGGGTCATGGGCGCTCTCAGGCGGGCAGTGGAGGGGGTTCTTTAGGTGGGCAGGGGGGCGGGACCCTCAGCACTGATCCTTGTGGCCCCTCTGTGTTGCCTCTGTCCCCTGCAGGCTGGTCTCAGGGTACACGGCTCCCCACTATCACCTCTGAGCCCAGCTGGCCCCGTTATTAAACCAGAGATCATCTTGTTTCGGAGGGAGAGTTTCTTCCTTGGCCCCCAGCCCAGCCCTTCCTAAGGATTCCAGGGTCAGCTGGGAGCTCCTGGCTTCTAATCTTCCCCGCCCTCCCCTCGTTTTGGACAGGACTCAGCACAAGCCAGTTTGCTGTCCAGGGCGGCTCCTGAGCAGAGCTGACTTGGTTGCCACTGCAACTCTGTAAGGGGAGGAAGCCGTCCTGAGGAAATGGGGCTTAGGGAAATGAATGCAGTGCTGACTTGGCTGGGCAAGGGCTTGTCTTGTTTTTTCTCTTTCCTTCTTCACCAAAAGGAGGAAGGAAACCCAGGGTTGGATGGAAGGAACCTCCAGCACTAAATTTGTGTTTTATTGATGGGGTGGGGATGGTGAATATTAAAGCAAAATTAAAATAAAAACCAAGCCTGAAACATTCCTGGGCAAACAAAACCAACCAGACCTTGAGAACGGCTGTAATCCCCGCTTAAACTGCAAGCTGTGGGAAACTGAACTGGGGTCATATCAGATGGGCACTTCTGTTAGACACAAACAAAACTTAACCTCGGCCAGTCACAAGCAGCCAGCTGACAGCGGGCCATGCTGAGATGGGAATACTGGGAGGTCACAGAAGAAACAAGAACTCCAGACAACAGGTTCCCATGACGGACACAGAAGGAGCTGCTGAAACCAGCTGCAGGGACAGGGGGAGGCGACGGGCCCACAGGACCCTGACAAACAGGAAGTGGCCAATCCGGCTAAGACCAGTAAGATCTACTTCGGCGCTAGGTCTGACCCACTTTTCACCCCAGACTCAATCATACCCTCCTTGTCCCATACCCACCCGCGTCACAAGCAGTTCCATGCTTGCTACAAAACTGCATGGCCCCCCAGTTCCAAGAAATCTCTGCCTCTTCCCATAGATCCTTATGCTTACTCTGCCCATTAGCTTAGTAAACCCACAAAAACAGAAACCACAAACCCCACTGGGCCCGACTGGCTCTTCTGAGTCCGCCTGCACTCCCACTCCTGAGCCTGCGCTTCCGCTTTGCAATAAAAGCTGATTTGCTTTGGCTTTGACTCAAATTTTTTCTCTCTTCGGTGTCAGAAACTGGACAAGGCTAAGGTCCGGTCTCACCTGCATTCAGAGACCTCCCTAAACCCACCGGCATCAACGTGACCAGGAATTTTCCAGCAAGGTAAACCAAAACAAGAAGTTTTATAACTGGAACTAATCAAATAATGTCCTTATTGCACTTCCACATTCACCCGATAAACACTTGTCTCCCATACTTTTTCATCATACCACGAAACCTCCTCCAGTTTGGTTTTCTCAATTCATGAACTCCTTCTTATTCAGATAAATGTGATTGTGCCTCAGATGTTTCTTTGACAAGGGGTATGTTAGATGATTGGACTCAGCCCTGGTAAAGAGGTGCTTGTGATGGGCAGCTCAGGGCAGGTGCCCCTAACACAGCTGGGGAAGGGGATGGTTTCCCCTTAGAATCAACAGGGGTCAGGTGGAGGGGATGGGAACCAGCTCTTAGGGAGGCCGTAGTTTGTGGCTTTGGTTCCTAGAAAAAGCCCAGATGGCCCAAGCCCTCCCCAATTGTGCAGCCCAGACAGGGAGCCCTCCATCCTGCCTCAGGGCTCTGAGCCAAGCTCACTAGATGCAGAGGACAAAGACTCTCAGCAAAGAGGCTCCCTCCATGTCACGGGTTCCAGGGCCTCCTCCTTGGGCAGGAAAAGAGGAGTTGAGACTGTGCTCCTCCTGAGAAATCACCATTTTCATTTCATTTTTGAGAAACGGTTGTGCTCTGTTGCCCAGGCTGCAGGGCTTTGGTGCCATCATAGCTCGTTGCAGCCTTAATCTGCTGGGCTCAAGTGATCCTCCTCCTTCAACTTTCTGAGTAGCTGGGACTACAGGTGCACGCCACCATGCTGGGCTAATTTGTTCATTTTTGATTTCAGAGAGACAGCATCTCTTGTGTTGCCCAGGCTGTCTTGAACTCCTGGCCTCTACTGATCCTCCCGCCTCTGCCTCCCACAGCACTGGGATTACAGGCTTCAGCATCTCTTTTTGGTGAAGAACAAATAAGACCGTGACTCAGATTTCACAGAAATTTCCCCCCTGATTTCATGTAATTTTGGCAGCTCTATCAGGATTTCAAAAGGGGAAAATCTCAGGCTGGGAGGGGAGGTGACTTGCCCAGAGTCACACAGCTCTTGGAGGGCAGAGGGGAGGCCAACATCTGGCCTTGTGACTCTGATATTGAAGCAAAAATGGGTGATTTTAGTAATCCAAAAATGTCCAGGTTTGATTCTGCTTCTATAAACACAGAGATCTAAGCTTACACTCCTGTGGTTATGATCACAGTTCCACAGTGTGGCTTTTGAATCTCATGATTGCAAAGCTGGCATCATGCCACAGGCACCATTCTGCAAGGTGCCCTGCTCACTCCCTGTCTCAGCCATGTTTCCCATTAGGGACACAGCACAGCCTGTTTCTTCTCCATCCCCCCAGAGGTCTGAACAGAGGGACAGAGGTGAGGGCCAGTGATGTGGAGTCCTATGAGTCACCTGCTCAACCTCCTGACACGGGACCCTGGGCAAGTCAGTCCCCTCCCAGGGCCTCAGTTTCCCCACAGGGCCTGGCACAAGTTGGTGCTCAGACTCAAGGGGGGTGAGATGACCTCTAGGTTCCTTGTATCTCAAAAGAAATCTCTTTCCCCATCGGGCCTCAGGAGCAGCACCCTGGGGCCAGCCTGGGTGTGGCCACGCCACAAGGACAGGCCGGACTCCGGGTTATGTCCCCACCTCCACCTTCTCTGATTCCTTCAAATTTCCCAAAGAGACAGGCACCCCAACACAAACCTTCCTTCTGGGGTCCCCCAGCCATGTCTCCGCAGTCTAAACCAGAGCTGAACCCAGGGAGCTTTGTGAACCCATCTGAGCTGTTTCCTGGCCTCTCTCTACTGTTTAAGGGCACAGCAGGAGGGAGGGAGCACCAGACTCAAGCCTGGGTGCAAATCCCGGCTCTGCCACTGCTTTCCTGTCTGATCTGAACCAGTTACTAACCTCTCTGAGCTTATCTACAAAAGCAGAATGATCCTTCCCTCATGGAGCTATTGAGAATAAGGAGATGGGGACAGGTCAATGGTCCCCGACTTACTGAGGGATCTTCCCCTGACAGAGACTGAGCAAGATCCAGCTGTTTTGACCTGTGTGGATCCCATCTCCAGTTATGCATCTGTGTAATAAACAGACACGTCCTCCCACCCCTAAGATATACCCAGGAATTCGAAAGGGAAAGTGAAAGTCACAACTTCCCAGCAGCTGGTGAGCAAGTATAGCAAACAGGCTGCTCGCCAGCACCACCTTCAGTCCAGACCCGCCCTCCTTGCTGCGGCACTTAAAGGAGCAGCCCCAGACCAGACATCCAGGTCTCTTTCATCCAACCCACCTGCCTCGCATCCTCAGGGTTGGGGGTCTGCTATGGTCTCAGGAAGAAAGACCTGCCACTGACAGACTGTGAGACCCTCCAGATTACTCCCCGTCCTCCCGTGCACCCACACTCCCCAGATGCCTGCCTTCCTCCCGCCCGTGCCATCAGCATAAGCGCAATCTCCCACACATACCAAGTGGATGCTTATTGTATATTTGTTGTAATGCTGTTGGGGGTTATTTTGTTTATGTTTTTGAGACAGAGTCTCACTCTGTAGCCAAAGCTGAAGTGCAGTGCCACAATCAGTGCACTACAGCTTCCAACTCCTGGGCTCAAGCCATCCTCCTACCTCAGCCTCCTGAGTAGCTGGTTCTACAGCCGTCAGCCAACCGCCCAGCTAATTTTTAAAGAAAATTATACTAGAGATGGTGCATCACTATATTGACTGGGCTACTCTTGAACTCCAGGCCTCAAGTGAGCCTCCCACCTTGGCATGAACCACCGCCCCAGGCCTGCTCTTGTTGAAGGCCATGCCTTGTGGCTTTTACACATTTGCTTATGTGGGATCTTCTGCCAGGAGCACCTGCTTCCACCATCTGGAAAAATTGTGCTCATCCTTCAACGACAAAATCAGGCATTGCCTCCTTTCAGAGAACCCCTAGCATCCTCCCCAGCAGAGGCCATCGCCCCATGTTCCACTCCCGAGGCACACTGGGTGGAGGGACTAGAGACCACTGCTCACCACAATTCCATGGCTAAGAAGTCAGGCAACCAGATTCTGCTGGACTTTTGTGCTTTGCCCCAGGCAGAAGGGCCTCAGAGGCAGCTAAACCACAAAAGCCAACTTGACCCTTTCATGGAAGCCTATTTCATCCTCAGCAAACATCTCTGGGGACATCGTGGCCACCTCCTCCCACCCATACACACATACACACACACACACACCAGTTTCTGAGGGAGGAACAGAAAGGTGATTACACAGGGACTGCACAACACACTTTGCAATATATACCATTTGCAAATACTTCTCCGTTTGATTGAATTTTATAATCATCCCCTCAATGGGCCAAGACTATGATCTGAGTTTTCAGATGAGGAAACTGAGGCAAGAAGAGAGGAAGTTGCTTTCAGCCAGCAACTCAGGGAGGAGGCAAGACTTGTAAACCAAAGAGGGTCTAAGACACATCTCAGTCAGTTTAGAGGTTTACTCTGCCTAAGTTGAGGATGCACCCAGGAAAAAGATACACAAGTCACAGGAAGATCTGGGGCCCACTCATTATTCACAGGGCCTTCTGAGGGCTTCAACATTTAAATGTGTAAAATTAGGCAGGAGTGGTAGGAGGAAAGGAAAAAAGACAGGATAGGTAATGAACTGAGTGGTCACATTTTTGTGAGGCTTTGATTGACCCTCCCTGAATCCACAGGTTCCATGTGAAAGGGGGTTAGAGGAACAGTCCATTATTCATTCATCTCGTGCACAGTTAATCTACATTTTCTATTAGATAAAAATAAACCGAAACTAGAGGAAGTAGGCATATGTGCATTTGTCTGAGGGTGGGCAGAAGGGTCACTTCCAGTCTTGTCATCGTTATGTACCAGTCCAGATAAGTTGCCAATTTGCATTGTCACAGTGAAATCATACAAAGTCTGTCTCAGGGTAAAAATTTGGGGACTTACAAGGATTTTCCTTGTGAGGAATTTGTGAGGCAGGCCAACTGGGGTATATGTTGCCTTCCATCTTTGCAAATATCTGTTTAGAAACCAAAACAAAGGCAGATTTTGGAGTGGCTCTGTTTCCAAGCTTAACTGGCTGCACTGGCATAGTGAGTTTGGGGCCTCGAGATTTGATTTTCCTTTCACATTTTCTCTTTGTTCTTCAACATCTTTTGGAGAAAACAGTGTAGAAGCAAATGAATCTCCAGTCACGGCGTTGGTCTGAATTCTGTAACACAAAGTATTCCGTCTTCCGTTTGCAGGGCTTAGAAAAAGGACAGTTTTCATTTCTGGTGATGCCAGGTCAGAAAAATGAGAGAAAAACAAAAGGACAATATTAGTTTGGAGACTTGTAGCCAGGAAAGAATTCAATATCTAGTCCAGATAAATTGTAGACAAATAATAAAGCTGGAAAACAATGGACAAAGCTAGAATCTCATAACAGATGTTTTATAGTTTCTTTTAAAAGATACCTTTTCTCTCTCTAGTCCTCTATTTCTACCAGAGACAAATCAGAGTAGGATGAATTTATTTGCAAAATAAGTTTTGGTTTTATAATACTTGACCTGATTATTTGCATAAAGTACAGAAGAGTAATTACGTGGCATATGGAGTCTTTTTTAAAATTTGACTTTGCTAAACCATTTTCATATTCATAAGCCATCTCAGAGTAGTGCTTTTATAATTGCCTGCAGATACCTGTATGAATTGGATGAGTTCCTTTCTTTTCGAGGCTCCATGATCACTTGGGCTTCCCGGGCCTGTTAGAAAGTGATATTCTTTATTTACCACAGTTCAGGAACCCTGTAAAGGAACTCTATAGGCAAAAGAATTAATAAAGGACTGAAATTTATTTTCAGTCGTTTCAGACAGAGCAGAGTGTCGCTGTTACCCAGGCTAGAGTGCAGTGGCACCATCTTGGCTCACTGCAAGCTCTGCCCCCTGGGTTCACGCCATTCTCCTGCCTCAGCCTCCCGAGAAGCTGGGACTACAGGCACCCGCTGCCACACCCGGCTAATTTTTTGTATTTTTAGTAGAGACGGGGTTTCACCGTGTTAGCCAGGATGGTCTCGATTTCCTGACCTTGTGATCCCGCCTCGGCCTCCCAAAGTGCTGGGATTACAGGCGTAAGCCACCGCGCCCGGCCACATCAGCTTTTCAATTAGAGTTCTGAAAGATTTTTTTCTTTTTTTTTTTTTTTTTTTTTGAGACAGAGTCTTGCTCTGTCACCCAGGCTGGAGTGCAGTGGCCAGATCTCGGCTCACTGCAAGCTCCGCCTCCCGGGTTCACGCCATTCTCCTGCCTCAGCCTCCCGAGTAGCTGGGACTACAGGCACCCGCCACCTCGCCCGGCTAGTTTTTTGTAATTTTTAGTAGAGACGGGGTTTCACCATGTTAGCCAGGATGGTCTCGATCTCCTGACCTCGTGATCCGCCCGTCTCGGCCTCCCAAAGTGCTGGGATTACAGGCTTGAGCCACCGCGCCCGGCCTGAAAGATTTTTTTCTTAGTCCAGTGGCACAGTCTCTAACTGATCAGAAATTGGTTTTTTGGAAGTAAAGTAAAACACTTCTTGCAGATAACAAAAGTATTAAAACAGCATTAGTAAAGACACAATTGACAAGGAAATTAGGTTATTCCTGTGGCATATAACCACTTAAGATTCATAATTACTTCTGATCACATATGCTAAGACATCTTAGACTTATAGAAATCTCATAGGATGTTGGAACACATATTAATAACACATTTACATAAATATAACCCAAAGAATGTTAAACACCATTTTATATTTGTCACGCTGAACCCCTGTGCTAGTGAGCTGAGAGGGCACAGCCTTGAATAAACAGAAGAAAAGACCTGGAGACAGCAGGCGAGACATAACCTTTATTCAGGGAACTTACGTACAGGGAGCCCAGGAGCAGCAGGTGAGACAAGAAATCCCCTCCTGTTTGTCAAATGCATGCAGGTTATATGATGTTTTTCCCAGAGCAACCTCCACTTAGCAACCTCTGCCAGGAAACCTTCACCTAGCCCAAAACAAAACAGCTTGGTTCCTTGCATGACCTCTGATCCAAGGAATGTGCCAGGGCCGAAGTGTTCTTTTTTTCTTTTTCTTTATCTTTTTCTTTTTTTAGACGGAGTCTCACTCTGTCGCCAAGGCTGGAATGCAATGGCACGATCTCAGTTCACTTCCACCTCCGCATCCCAGGTTCACATGATTCTCCTGCCGCAGCCTTCTGAGTAGCTCGAATTACAGCATGCACTACCACCCCTGGCCAATTTTTGTATTTTTAGTAGAGATGGGGTTTCACCATGTTGGTCAGGCTGTTCTGTAACTCCTGACCTCGTGATCTGCCTGCCTCAGCCTCCCAAGTACTGGGAGTGTTCTCTATAGGTATGATGTAAACATCTGGATTAGCCTTTTTGTTCAGCTGGGAACCCTGAACAAAAATTCACCAAGGAATGTGCAGTCATTCTCAGAAGATGCTTGAGTTATAGCTGCCTGACAGGACATGCCAAACATGCGCTCCACCCCAGCATACCTTTGAATGGCCCTCAAATTCTCACCACGCTGTTTTTCTGTGGTTTCCCTGGGGCCAGCTTTGTGGAAGAGCATTGCTGCCAAACAACCCAGCAGCAATATAAGTGTAATAAAGGATTGTGAACACAATTGCAATTACACTAGATACACAGCTCCTCCAGTGTCTGGGAGTTGATTAAACCATGAGATGATAGGACCATAAGACAAACACTCAATGGCTGGACTCTGGGTATCTAATGCCAGCAGAGCCTGTGTTATGTTATGAGAGTAATGAGGGCGATATACACAACATTTTGTTTTAATTAATGCACAAGTTCCACCCTGGGCAGCAGGTATATGGTTTCAGGTTATGTCCTGGATCACACAATTTTGCAGAAGAACACGCCTGACTGGGTGGTTTCTTCATTGAGAAGAATAAAAGGATGATAAGTATCATTGAAGGCTGCAGTCACGTGTTTAGCCAGGGCGTCAATTGCCACTTTGCAATTACGGTTGCCACTTTAGACGTAAACATGGCCAAAGGGTAGCACCACCAGGATGCATGTTTCTGGTGATGTCTAGCTTCTACCGTTTCCCAATAATTGAGGGTTGTGTCTAAATGGAGCACTTTATACTCTAGCCATTCAGGATGCCACCAGGTGCACCTGCCAGTCCAATTGAATGGCAAGTAGGGCCAGGCATGGGTGCCACATGCCTATGACGATCCACATGGGGAGAGGTAGGCACCCACATGTAGCTACTTAGTCTACATTCCAGCTGTCTGTCATTGCTTTAGCCAAGGACTTGGTGAAATTGTTGTACAGGTAGCCACCCCACATTGTGGGTATTTGCCAACAGTGTGCTGCCATTTATCGATTAATACAGAGTTACACAACCAACTGCCTGTATTTGTACTACAGTCAGCGGATGCCCAGTCCATCACGTACAGCATACCTGACGTGACATTTACCTGTTCACAAATTGAACTGAAAACTTTCTATGACTGGGCATAGTGGCTCATGCCTCTAATCCCAGCAATTTGGAAGGCCAAGGTGGGTGGATCACCTGAGGTCAGGAGTTCGATTCTAGCCTGGCCAACATGGTGAAACCCTGTCCCTACTAAAAATACAAAAATTAACCAGGCATGGTGGTGGTGCATGCCTGTAATCCCAGCCACTCAGGAGGCTGAGACAGGAGAATTGCTTGATCCTGGGAAGCAGAAGTTACAGTGAGCTACAGTGTTTTGTTTCATTTTCTGGACCATCCTGTTTCCCCTAAAGGAAGTGATTTCCTTAAATCTCTCAAGTGTTCTGAAAATGTAATTTTCTTCTTCACTTTCTCCCTGTTGGCTCAAGATGAATCACAAAACTCCAAATACCATCAGCATGTGTTGCCCAAGTCCCACCTGTTCTATGGCTGATGGCCACAGGGAGCTGGGTCTGGCGGGGCCGGTGATGACCAACTGTAACCCACATCAAGGACTAACATGCTCCCGAAACAGACCCCATGTCCGAGAATTTGCAAAAGCTGCCCTGAAATGTTGTCATCACAGAGAGTGTCCCAGTGTCCTGTCCAGATATCCCTCCCTCCCATGAGCTGGAGAGGATATTTGGCATCAGACAGCTGGTAATCACTTTCCCCAGTTTTTGGCTTCGTGACTCAGTTTTCTTGCTTGTAGAATAAAGCTCATCATAGAATTTACCTCTCAGAATTCCTAAGAGAATAAATTCAGGCAGGGTGGGGAATATGTATGGCATATACTAGAGCTCAGTAAACAAGAATCAATTTTTCTGAGCACTCACTCTGTATACAGGGCAGTGAGCAATCATGGTGTCTGCTTATCTCCATTTGTAACTGCAGAAAACTTCAGCTGCTCACTGCTTGCAAAGGCAAATGAACAAGGATGAGAAACAGTGAAAGGAAAGTGACTTCATTCCAAAAGCCCATATCTGGGAATGAGGTCAAGCTAGTGTCTTAAAGAAACCATTTCAGATTTTGAGCTGAGGGCAGAGGTTTCAAAAGGGAAACTTGATACGAAAGCCATGCAAGAGTGGTGAAGAGGTGCCAGTGTACATGACTTGTCCAATGACCATCTTGAGTTACTGCCCCATCTGGTGTGTGGACTGGGGGCATCTCTGGGACAGCCAGGTTGAAAATTCACTGTAGCCTTGAGGTAATTCCACAACTTCCTGGATGGTTTCAAGATTTCTTCTATTGGGGGAATTTCAATGTATGGTTTTTCTATTTTCCATAAGTGTTGGCCGGCTAAGAAGTAAAGAGAGACAGTACAAAGAGAGGAATTTTACAGCTGGGCTGCCAGGGGTGACATCACGTATCAGCAGGATCATGATGCCTGCCTGAGTCTCAGACCAGCAAGTTTTTATTCAGGGTTTTTAAAAGTGGAGGGGATGTAAGAACAGGGAGTAGGTACAAAGATCACATACTTCAAAGGGCAAAAAGCAGAACTACTAATAAGGATCTAACAAAGATCACATGCTTCTGAAGGAGCAGGACAAAGGGCAAAAGCAGAGCTACTGATAAGGGTCTATGTTCAGCGGTGCACATATTGTCTTGATAAACATCTTAAACAACAGAAAACAGGTTAGAGAGCAGAGAACCAGTCTGACCACAAATTTACCAGGGCAGAGTTTTTCCCCACCCTAATAAGCCTGAGGGTACTGCAGGAGACCAGGGCGTATATCTCAGTCCTTATCTCAACTGCATAAGACAGACATTCCCAGAGCAGCCATTTATAGACCTCCCCCCAGGAATGCATTCCTTTCCCAGGGTATCAATATCCTTGCTAGGAAAAGAATTTGGCAATATCTTCCCTACTTACCTGTCCATTTATAGGCTCTCTGCAAAAAGAAAAATATGGTTCTTTTTGCCCGACCCCACAGGAAGTCAGACCTTATGGTTATCTTCCTTTGTTCCCTAAAATCACTGTTATTCTGTTCTTTTTCAAGGTGCACTGATTTCACATTGTTCAACCACACATGTTTTACAATCAATTTGTACAGTTAACACAATTATCACAGTGGTCCTGAGGTGACGTACATCCTCAGCTTAAGAAGATAACAGGATTAAGAGATTAAAGTAAAGACAGGCATAAGAAATTATAAAAGCATTATTTAGGAACTGATAAATGTCCTTGAAATTTCCACAATTTATGTTCCTCTGCTGCGGCTCCAGCCGATCCCTCCATGTGGGGTCCCTGGCTTTCCACAACATCATACCTGGAATTTCCAAGAAATTGCATGATTAAATAAAATACAGTGCATGGGAGGGGAGATCCTGCTAGAAAAGGAGAACAAAGATTCACACATTACTAAAAGCAAAAGAAGAATTGGACAAAGAGAGAAGACCAAAACCAAACAAAAATAAATCAACTCTTAAAATGGGATACTTGGTTACATTTTCATCTTCTCTGTGCACTCTCTACTATTCTTGATGTTTCTCCTGTGCCCATGTACAGATCAGAAACAGACTTAGACAATGAAATAATTTCCCTAAGGCCACACAACTGGCCATGGTTTCCCTTTTTGTTAGAGACAGGATCTCACTCTGTTGCCCAGGCTGGAGTGCAGCAGCAGAATCAAACGTCTGGGCTCAAGTGATCCCCCCACTTCAGGAGCCCAAGCAGCTGAAACTACAGGCATGTGCCACCATGTCTGGCTAATTTTTTAACTTTCTTGGTAGAGGTGAGGTCTCATGATGTTGCCCAGGCTGGTCTTAAACTCCTAGCCTCAAGTAACCCTTCTGCTTCAGCCTCCCAATGCACTGGAGTTGTAACTGAGTATCCCAGCATTGAAATGTACTTTAACATTATTTTTCTTTCTGTCTTCATCTCACAATGTAGCCTTAAAATGCACTTCAAAACTCCTTTTCCCTCCCTTTCCCACCAAGTTCTCTTGTGCACAGTGTTCACTTACTTAATGATGTGGATGCATAGAAATTCAAGGAGCTAATTTTGAAAAAACCAGGCAGAGATAACTGAACAATGAGATCGGGAAGGGGAACATCACACACTGGGGCCTATCATGGGGAGGGGGGAGGGGGGAGGTATTGCATTGGGAGTTATACCTGATGTAAATGACGAGTTGATGGGTGCTGACGAGTTGATGGGTGCAGCACGCCAACATGGCACAAGTATACATATGTAACAAACCTGCACGTTATGCACATGTACCCTAGAACTTAAAGTATAATATAATAAAGAAAAAAAAAGTGGGCAAGTCAAACTTCTTTTTAAATCACTGTATTTCATCATGAAGTCTATAAAACAACATCAGAAGAAAAAAAAAAAAAAAAAAAAGAAAAGAAAAAACCAGGAAGAGAAACCCAGCTGCAAAATTCTCTGGCTTAGGGGAGGTTACCAACAATTAATCCACCACCAACAGGGTAAAGTCCAAATGATGCCAGTTGGACCTCCTGACGGGCTATTTCTCAAGACAGCCATTGGAACAAGACACAGACCTGCACCTTTCTGCACCACTCCCACACACCTCTGATTCCAGTGTTCCCTTTCTAAACTCCTCTCTCCAGCCTAAAGTAGAAATGATCTTTTAAGAGCATGAGCCTGACCGTTCCCCCGCTGTGAGCACTTGAATGAAGCTGCTTTCCCTTCACCACAACTCACT